CAGTGACGGCAAGATGGCGGCCTGTGGAGGGCTGCAGCAGTGGCTCTCTTCACCAAAATCGCCGTAAACACAAGCAACCTGCAGAATTTGGTAAGCTTGCTGCGCTGGGGTCTTTAACCCCAAACGAAGTTTAAGAGAGTGACCTAAAACATAGTCATTCCTGACCAGTAAGTCCAAGAGACCCAAACAGCATGAGGAACCATGTAATATGAACTCTCAAGTATAAACAAAACTTAAGTCATTTCTACTAAGAGTGTCTCATCTGACCTCAAATACTATTCATCATCGTCTTACAGTCCTATCTCAAGTCAGGTAAGTCAATTACCATGTAAACAGTTGCTCAAGTTTAGCTCCTAAGTGTAGTCTACGGGATCACCATAGCCCGTGCTACTTGGAACTTTTTGTTCCAAGTAGTTTTTATTTGTTTTATTCTCTTAAACAACAACAACAGCGTCAGATATGACGTAGGCCTACATGAAATAAATAAATAAAAACTACAAATAATTTTTTATGTTTATTTAATATGAGATGAATTTATATATAATATGACATGAACTTTTATTTAGTATGACATGTATTTTTATTTAATATGACATGAATTTTTACTTAAGATAACATGAATTTGTATTTAATATGACATGAATTTGTATTTAATATACCATGAATTTAAATAGGCTTCCACTGTTATGTGGTGATACTATCTTTAACAAATATCTTCTTACCAATGGACGATATTGTTATTAACGGGCACTATCACAATGAACACGGCGTACATAGAACGATCTGTTCTCCCAAGTGATTTAATTTAACCCCCTTAACCCAATATGATCAAAAGCAACATATATTTATTTTAATTACGCGAGGCTTGTATCCTATGGTAAGACCTTCGCACCATGTATTAGTATAACTAACAATTGCTTGTGAGCAAGTTAAACCATTCAGACTGTGTTTATCATAGCCGTAAAATGTCAAGAAAGTCCAAATTCATTGGCCTGCTATGCTTTTCTAATAAAACAAGTATGTATATATATATATATGTCGTACCTAGTAGCCAGAACGCACTTCTCAGCCTACTATGCAAGGCCCGATTTGCCTAATAATCCAAGTTTTCCTGAATTAATATATTTTCTCTAATTTTTTTCTTATGAAATGATAAAGCTACCCATTTCATTATATATGAGGTCAATTTTATTTTATTGGAGTTAAAATTAACGTAGATATATGACCAAACCTAACCAACCCTACCTAACCTAACCTAACCTATCTTTATAGGTTAGGTTAGGTTAGGTAGCCGAAAAAGTTCGGTTAGGTTAGGTTAGGTAGGTTAGGTAGTCGAAAAACAATTAATTCATGAAAACTTGGCTTATTAGGCAAATCGGGCCTTGCATAGTAGGCTGAGAAGTGCGTTCTGGCTACTAGGTACGACATATATATATATAACGCACTTCTCAGCCTACTATGCAAGGCCCGATTTGCCTAATAAGCCAAGTTTTCATGAATTAATTGTTTTTCGACTACCTAACCTACCTAACCTAACCTAACCGAACTTTTTCGGCTACCTAACCTAACCTAACCTAACCTATAAAGATAGGTTAGGTTAGGTTAGGTAGGGTTGGTTAGGTTCGGTCATATATCTACGTTAATTTTAACTCCAATAACAAAAAATTGACCTCATACGGAATGAAATGGGTAGCTTTATCATTTCACAAGAAAAAAATTAGAGGAAATATATTAATTCAGGAAAACTTGGCTTATTAGGCAAATCGGGCCTTGTAGGATAGTAGGCCAACAAGGATAGGCCTTGTTGCATAGTAGGCATAGAAGTGCGTTCTGGCTACTAGGTACGACATATATATATATATATATATATATATATATATATATATATATATATATATATATATATATATATATATATATATATATATATATATATATATATATATATATATATATATATATATATATATATATATATATATATATATATATATATATATATATATATATATATATATATATATATATATACACACACATATATGTATGTGTGTGTAGACGTCTCATTGAATATGACAGCATATTCCGTATTAACTATTTTCTGGTTTAGGGCTTCTATCCCTCTTACTAGTGCTCTCTTGCATCAGGGTTTAGTTAGAAGAGCAGTTCACCAAAAGTCATGTTCGTTTTCAAGGTGAAGAAAAGAAAGTGAATAACTATAAAATGTATTACACTTATTATAAAATTGCACAACGTTTCGAACCTATATGGTTCATTCTCAAGTGATGTTACAGTACAGGACATAATATTTATACTAATATTGGGTCAGGTGAATACAAATGGCTCGAACAATGGGGTCAGGTGAAAACAATTGGTAAACATAAGGGAACGAGTAAGGCATAACAACAACACTGGTCTCCAAAAATACACAACAATGTGCTGATATTCAATTCTATATGAAGGATTACACGTTATAAATCAAAAGCTAGCTATGAGTTATCTAATAATCCATCTTACAGCTAGATGGTTAGTCTTTTTTATTATTTTTTATTTATATATACTGTACACAAGTTTTTACGTTATTGTAAAACCCACTAGCATGCATAGCCGTTTTGTGCAGGCCCTAAAGCTATGCATAGAATATTCACTATTGTATAAAAATAAATGTAATGTTAGGTACATAGTAAGAGAATTTGAACTAACTTAATTACTACATCAACATAACGTGGTGATAAAATAAATTATACTGATGAAGTTGCATTTCTAGATTGTAAAGCACTAGGAGAGTTAGTAGGGCATGATACTTTGAGTTATGAACACAAGATGGAATACTATGAAAATTAAATTAGGCATCTCATTGTTCATTTCTTTTTTAATAAAGTATTGGACAATTTTATTAATTCATTAGGGCGTCAGTTCCATATATTTCGGTCCTTTTTATTTGCTTGTCAGACTGGGAATATTAAATAGATATATATTTATGGTGTTCTGTTACACCAGTTCTATCATATCCATTTAGGAAAAGTTTCAAAGCAAGATTAGAATTTAAGAATAGGGCTTTGTAAGTGTAAATAGCATAAGAGAATGGTGGAGTGAATGATTAGCAAGCTCAGGAATGTGAACAGAGGGTTATTGTGTTGTCCAAAGACAGAATTTGTTATAGTTCGAATAACTGATTTTTGCTAGTTGGATAGTGGGCTTGAGGCAGTTTGCAGTGGAACCCCATGGTTCACGCTAGATCGCGTGATCCTGTGGTCTCGGGTTCGATTCCGGGCGCCGACAAGAAACAATGGGCAGAATTTCTTTCACCCTGATGCCCCCTGTTACCTAGCATTAAATAGGTACCTGGTAGTTAGTCAGCTGTCACGGGCTGCTTCCTGGGGTGTGTGTGGTATGGAAAAAAATAGTTGTTAGTAACAGTTGATTGACAGTTGAGAGGCGGGCCGGAAGAGCAGAGTTCAACTCCCGCAAGCACAACTAGGTTAACACAGACATCGTAACTTAGATAGGGATAGATTAAATGAGTAGTATCGTGAGAGAAGAGCAGAGTGGGAGACATAATTTCTAAGTTTGAGAGAATACAAACAGTTTTAGAGACCTTTTTTGGGTATGTGCTGTATTTGAGTATTGAAGTTAAGTCTCTTGTCTATTTAACTAAAACTGTTGGAAGTTACCGAATAAGTAATAGAACCGATGATCATTATACTATTTTTTTTTTTTTAGATATATACAAGAGTTGTTACATTCTTGTACAGCCACTAGTACGCGTAGCGTTTCGGGCAAGTCCCAGGAATAGGATCCCCGCCGCGAAGAATCGTTGTTACAACCAAGTACACATTTTACTGTTGCGTTAAACAGAGGCTACAGTTAAGGATTTGCGCCCAGTACATCCTCCCCGGCCAGGATACGAACCCATGACAAAGCGCTCGCGGAATGCCAGGCGAGTGTCTTACCACTACACCACGGAGACTGTAAATCAACAGTCAACTATCAATATTTACAGTATTTATTATACTGGGAATATTAAAAAAAAAATGTGTATTTAAAATTCCCTGAGTCAGACTAAATCCATGCAAATAAAAAGGGCCTAATACAGTATATGGAACTCTCTCCCTAATGAATTAAACAAATTGTTCAACCTTTACTTTTGTCAAAAGTTCCTATGAAGTACCTAATTTCATCTTCAGAGTATCCCATCTTGTGCCATCAACTCACACTAGTATCTTGTGCTACTCACTCACCCAGAATATTAATTACAATGTAGAAATGCAATTACATCATATTATTTTATTTGATCTCTTTTTAACTGATGTTCATTATCATATGAATTAAAATTATGTTACAATGTACCTATCATTACGCTTATTTGTTAACTTAAGGATCTGCCCGAAACACAATGTGTGCAATTAAGTGACTTTGCAAGAATGTACTATTCACCCATCAACGTATGAACCCCCATAACAACTCATTGTATATCTTCTTGTATTTGAATAAATAAATAAATAAACGATAAATGTATAGGCCACGGAACTTTCCCATATTTTTATTATCAATATTTACATTATCTATCTGAAGGTGTATTTGGTTCACCCATTTGTTTACAAATAAAATGTAGTAGGTTACTATAGTCTGTACAGACTTAAAAGAGATCATTGAGATAAAAGTCATTCCATCTCAGTCCGATTTACATTTTACATTAGTTAGTTTAGTTCATTTATTATGCACCCCATACACATCTTGTGGGCGGTAGTGGAAAGGGTTACAGAGGCACATAATGGGCTCAGGGACTGAACCCCACAATTCATTTAGCTAAGCAAGTTACAATCTTGATGAGCTACTTACAAAATTCATTATAAGTCATCACATCAACAATGGGTTCGAGATCGACCACAAGTACAGTTTCTAAATTAAGCAACTGACATGTGGAGAGCTAGTGTCACAATTAATATGTTTGTCCTGCACACCGCCCCCCATCCAGTGGGCAGCGGTGGATAGGTTACAATCACTCGGTTACTACCTACAGTTTGCTAACTGGGGATATTTGGCTAAAATTTCTGATAGCAGATCATTTTGAATGAAATATTTACACATTGCTGAAACATTGGTTACAGAATTGTCCCTGAATTAACGTATCTTTTCACACTCCATCACATAGTGACGGAGGGTGTGCGAATAATTTTGTTGACACAGTTTACATTTGTTCAGGTCTACATCAGCAGATAATGAGAATTCCCAGAGATACTTGTAACCGAGTCTAAGCCGAGCAGTAGTAACATCTAGAAGTCTGCTGATTTTATTGGATGAACCATAGATCTGTGGCCCCTCTTGCATGATTGATGATAGATGGAATTACTGGTGTCGGTTTCACTTTGCCTCTGATCTAAAAGATTTTGTTGAAGTTCTTGTTGTACTGCTGGTCTCAGATTGCTCATTGACAACCCAAGGTTACACTCAACGTCTTTAAAGGCAGATTCTTTGGCTAACTTATCAGCTCTATCATGCATTCGGAGGCCAACATGAGATGGAGACCACATGAAATGGACTCTGTTACCATCATTAAATTAATAATTTTTACATTACTGAACGCGATTCATGACAAAGATCTCAGTCCTATCCCATAGGTATTGGAGGCTACACATATTATGGACAAAGAATTTTTCAAATTATATCACATAATCATTTAAATATTGACTTAATCTAACATTTTGTATTATTAAATATGAACATGTTACAATGTAATTAATTGCAAAACATTAATTAGATATGCAGTAGCTTAGTAGAACTTACAGAATTACACTCATGCTGCCCGAAACGCTTTGCGTCATAGTGGCTTTAGGCATTGTATGTACTAGCTCTATATAAATCCATCAATGTTTGTATCACACCTTGTATATATGTACTTTACCTGAATAAACATTTGAATTTTGAATTTGAATGCTGTGATCGAGGCATTCAAAGCAGTGGGAAGTGTATTGCAATAGATCTTTCAGTTGTCGTATCATCCATTTGCAAATCACCAGCCTTCCAGCGAAGTACGAACTTGAGACACCAGATAACTGGCAGGAAGACGAAAACAGTGAAAAATATTACGATGCTGGCAAGGACGAAGACTGGCTGGTCATGTCCGAGCAACAATATTGTTGTTATTGTTGCCAGTAACACGGAGTACACTATGCTGTACAGCCTGAAATATAGAAGTTCAGGCTTAACCAATAAGATAATATTATAATGGTAGATAAAATTGCATATTTCTCTCTCTCTCTCTCTCTCTCTCTCTCTCTCTCTCTCTCTCTCTCTCTCTCTCTCTCTCTCTCTCTCTCTCTCTCTCTCTCTCTCTCTCTCTCTCTCTCTCTATATATATATTTTTTTTTGGTTCATTATTTATGATATGTGATTAATATATTTAAGAATAATGCTTTACTAAGAATAAAATATATTTTATTAAAAATAATATATCTCTATTAAGAATAAAATATCGTTTAATGAGAATAATATATCTTTTTATTAAGATTAATATATCTTTTTATTAAGAATAATATATCTTTTTATTAAGAATAATATATCTTTTTATTAAGAATAATGTATCTTTTTAATTTAATAATATATCTTTTTATTTTAATAATATATATTTTTATTAAGAATAACATATCTTTTATATATAACATATCCATCACGGCGATATATTTACGGTCTTGCACATAGCTACAAAAAAGTACTATCTTTTCAGGGGGATGGGTTGTTCAGGATTAGAAGTTGGATTTAATGTTGAAAACTATGGTGTCATTAACAAAAAGTCTTACTTGCAATGTATAATAATATCGTGTTAATATGTAAACGTTCAGTGTGAGAAGTCTCGTTACCAGTTGTCAATACTCACCTAATTGTGCTTGCGGGGGTTGAGCTCTGGCTCTTTGGTCCCGCCTCTCAACCGTCAATCAACTGATGTGTGTGTGCAGGTTGTATTATCCTAATTAATGATGTAAAAAATTACACTTAGGTCTGGTCAATACTTTTTTGTGGTCTGCTATTTTTTGCGCTTATTATTTTTTATTATTAATTTTTTTTGACAGGATATGTTAGTTTGCATAATCGACGTAATTCAGTTAGGTCTTATTGCAGTGAGGTGCAACTCGTTTTCACTGTCACACAGGACAGGCTCATACACAAGACAATAGATCTGAACTGTAGATTTCAGCATATTGGTCATGGGATTAACAATCTGCTACACCAAATATTATATATGTTCCAACTGATGAATTTGAAATGTAACCGCATAGGGCAGGAATGGATTCCTAAGAGATGCAGCTAAACAATAATCTTCATTCTTGAAAATGGACAAGCAAATTTAGGATAAATGCCGCTACCGTACAATACAATTTTGCTAGAATTTATCTACTTAATATTATCTGTTAGATTAAGGACCTGCCCGAAACGCTGTGCGCACTAGTGGCTTTACAAGAATGTACACACATTATGCTATGTACTCTCACAAACCCAATGTACCTTCTTGTATAAATATAAATAAATAAATAAATAAATACACTAGCCGCCTTCAGCGTCAATAAATAACAAAATAAAACTTATGCTCGCTCTCCAACAATATCCCAGCACGCAGCGGACTGCGGCCGGGATTCCATTTAATTATGGTTGCAGATAAAATGAACAAATAACTCACATGCTTGTGTAGCATCGAAAACGTCTAATTATGCAGGTCACATTTTCCCTCTGGTGATGCGCTTGTTCTTGTTCTCGTTGAACGAAGTACCCAGATTCGAGAGATCTTGGGTTAGGTGGCGAGTAGGGTGGAGGCACTTCACACAGGGAACTGGTTCTGTGGGTTGTAGGTACAGGAGATGCAGGTGAAATGTGGGGTGTGTGTGTGTCCTGTGAGTGGTGAATGCTGTCCGGGTTGCTCTCTAGCGAGGTTGACGCTTGGGTATTATTACTCTGATAAGATATAATAGTCTGGTGGTGGACCCCAGGGCTGTAGTCGATACAGTATACTCCGTGTTCTCCAGTCTCACTAAGTGACATTTCGGGAACGGTTGATCCAGATAATGCAACATTTGGATTTTGTGCTGTACTATAAATAATCCCAGCAGATCTTCCATTGTTTAAGATCTGAAGACTGCGAGCAATCTTTAAAGTTTCCAAACACTGAAGTACACTCATGATTTTAATGTTGGCATTTTGCCGTGCTGACCTTTTTATCTTGTATTTTGGTGGTTGGTCTGACATAGAACAGATGTAGCAAGGCGGTCCGTCCAGGTCTAGGTAGGACCTATGATAGCATACTTGGCGTCTGGATTGATTTCGCCTGTGGACGACTCTGTCTAAGATTTGTTGTATGCGTACATTAACGTGGGCAGTCTCTAAGCTGTGCAAGCTTTGACTGTAGGATACAGGTGGGCAACTAAGCCCTAGCCCAGGATGTGATGTAATCTCTTGATTGAAGGTGTATCGTGGAATTAACACTCCACGAATTAGAGCACTAGAATTTATTTGTTGATCTTCAGAAAAATCCTCCGGTTGCTGCGGAAATGAAATATTTGTGATCTGGCTTTCATGTGGTCTTTGTAGCGGAGAACTACTTATCACGGAACATAGAGATAAAACGGATCCATTGAGCGTATTTGAACTCTGCAATGAAGAATTTGTTCTGCATATCTGTGTCTCAGTCTCTCTTTTACCAACAGTACTCTCATGCTTACCACGTGAATACTCGTCATACCGCACGCCATTATGCATTATTTGTGTAGAGTCCTGTTCATTTCCATGCTCTTCAACTGTCACCAGTGTTGAATCTTGAGAATCATTTCCTTCAATTTCAATTTCTGTGCTAACTTCACTTGTTCTTAAATGGTCCTCAGCCTGTCCGCCGTCAATCACACGTGACTGGTCTTCTTCCGTTTTGAAGTTTGAAGAAACTGTTGAGTTGTCGATAGAGCCCATTTTTCAACAATTTTGAAATTTTAACCTCTGTTAGCTCGGACACCGAGATTATCACTGAATTATTATTTCACTTTCAAAATGCACCACTGTCATCTAAACATCAGTAGTAATATTTAAGTAATGATTAGCTTCAAAAGCATTCTGAACTCTGATATTTGTATGTGTTCACCCTGTGATGTCTGTACGAGTAGTGGAGAATGAAGAGGAGGGCAGCAGCTGGCCGGGAAGGCTCTTATGTTGTGGTGCTGGTGAGGCAAGAGTGGTGGTAGAGGAGTGAGGCAGCATATCATCATAAACTGATTATGTTGACAAGTTCATGCTGTACCATGGCACAGACATGAGTACCATGTACTCGTGGTACTCATCACAGTACCATGTAGGTTCGAAACGTTGTGTAAATTCATAATAAGTGTAATATATTCTACAGTTAATTATTTATTTTTCTTCACCTCGAACAAAGATGACATTTGGACATATATAATGTAAAATATAAAATACATACATATATACATACATGACTGTATGACTAACCATCCTGTGTTATGGGACTTTTAGCATCAAGTAGCTAGTTCTGGACACACACTGTACTCCCTTTGATATAGTCTAGGGTACCTGCACAAATGCAGATGTACCTAAATGTGTTTTAAGGTATAAGGTGTTTTAGGGTTAAATGACTCTAGAGCAGTGAGTGGGTGGGAGTCGCAGTGCCCTCATGGCTCTGGAGTCCTTTAATCCAGTCCATCCTGTGGTAGTCGAAATTCAACATTGGCCGTTTCTTATCGTCAGCAAATTTAAGACAGTCGAGTTTAGCTGGGTTCCCAGTCATATTGGTGTTGACCAAACCACACACTAGAAAGTGAAGGGACGACGACGTTTCGGTCCGTCCTGGACCATTCTCAAGTCAATTGTGCGACTTGTCCAGGACGGACCGAAACGTCGTCGTCCCATCACTTTCTAGTGTGTGGTCTGGTCATCATTTTTCAGCTACGTTATTGTGACTCCTCGCCTGCATATTGGTATTTCCTTACATGCGCGTGCGGATGCTGCCGCTGTGGAGGCTAGATCCACACTTGTTGACCAACCACACACTAGAAATTGAAGAGACGACGACGTTATCCACACTTGTCCTATTTCCTACAAAGACGTACCTTATTTCGACTTCTACGTAGTCATTCATTCCTCAGTCCGTGCCCTTTGGCAACTTTGATTGTGCTACATAGGAGCTGCCTCGTATGGGCCAATAGGCCTTCTGCAGTTACCCCTATTCTTATCTTCTTACATAGTTTTCGCGGCTTAGCGCCTTCTTTTTATAATTACTTAATTATTGTGAATATTGTGAATTACTTTTCATTGTACAGCTGTGCCGTTGCTGTAACTACAATTTCTATATTTAAGTAGTCCATGCCTTTCATTTATTTTATTTTTAAATGTCATATATAAATTTTAAATAATTTGATGAATTTCAGATATATTATTAGTTTACTTCTAGCTCAGTATTATTAATAAATTATCTAATTATGTTAAGTTATGCCCGAAACCCTTTGCTTTATATAAATTACAGTGTGTACCTTAGAATACTTATTGTAACATGTTTCAAGTATATTATTATTATTATTATTATTATTATTATTATTATTATTATTATTATTATTATTATTATTATTATTATTATTATTATTATTATTGTTATTATTATTATTATTGATAACATACCAACTTAAACGCGGTCATTTTGTTATTGACAGATCTACAGTCTTTACCTGTGAACCTGCAGAAGTGAAATGAGTCTCATCCTACAGTTCGGTAAGTACCAATTTGATGTTCGTAGTCCTGTTAACGTCTTTCGGCATGTCCATTGATAATTGTATTGAACATATTGTAATACCCGTACCTCATTCTTATAGCCTTCCACCACCCCCGATTGCAAGACGATTGTTAGCTGGGGATATGATCTTACATAAATGGTGTTGCTCACAGTAATTTGTTATCACTATTATTGGTTACCTTATGTTTTCATTGCCACCACCTTGTTAATTTTGTCTTTGGCTTCAAGGAAAACTGACACTGTTAGGTTATGGTTCTTAGTTTTCCAGGTATCAGCCAGCAAAAGTAGCGGGTATTAAGTCCTTTTTTTTATATTATTATTATTTTCTACCACAGACGTGGCCACACATTTACAATGCTAACCAGCATATATACATTTTCTTCTGTCCTCCATGGACAGGGTTAGAGATGTGTTAAACATATAGTTCAAGGGTTTATTGAACACTCAACCACAGAAGGTGAGTCGGTATTAAGTCCTGGCAGGTGTCAACACTCGTTGTCACCTGTTGAGGGCCCCTCATCCCTTATGCCCGAGGACAGGTGGGACAAAGATAGGAAACACTTTCACATCAAATCAAATCAAACCAAATGTTTATTCAGGTAAAAGTACATACATAGAAGATTCGTTATAAACAAAATGTTGGATTTATAGATAGAGCTAGTACATACAATACCTAAAGCCACTAGTTCCCATAGCGTTTCGGGCAATGTTTTCACTCGCTTTATCCTCACTCATGTAATGTGTTTATCACTAAGGACATTCTGATAATCCTGCAATATTCGTAGAGGGTGACTTGACCATGGGTTATTTCAGACAATTAAAAGGGGAAGGATATAATACTAATGCGTATAGCACTTGGCAGCATACTCAATGCACCAGGCAGGATGGCGAGGATTATTCAGACTTAACACGTTAAAGTTTGACATTTAATTATTAAAATTGTTTATTTAATCATTTAAGGGAGCCGGCGGCTGAGCGGACAGAACACTGGACGCGTGATCCTGCGGTCCCGGGTTCGATCCCGGGCGCCGGCGAGAAACATTGGGCAGAGTTTCTTTTATCCTGATGCCCCTGTTACCTAGCAGTAAATAGGTACCTGGGAGTTAGTCAGCTGTCACGGGCTGTTTCCTGGGGGTGGAGGCCTGGTCGAGGACCGGGCCGCGGGGACACTAAAGCCCCGAAATCATTTCAAAAATCATAGCTGAGGTGATCCTAACTGAGATTTCGATTAAAAGTAATAATTTTAATATGTAAATATTATTGAAGAATGGGGACAGTTACTTATAATACACTAGTGAATCCAGGACCAAGGAGCCGGCCGTTGCTCTCCCACCTATGTTTCCCCTTTTATTTCCTCTGCACTCTTCCACCGCCGGGAATACACTGCCCTTCAGGATCCCAGATGCTGCTGTTTATGAGAGAACCAAAATCTGCTCATCATGCCTCAGGGGTCAAGCTTGAATGGTGATTTGATGAAATATCTGTGCCCAAAATAGTCAACGAGAGCTGTCGGGTATTGGGTTAAGGGCCCGACGACTTTCAATACTTTTGTACAGTCAGTTTGGCCGAGTGGTTATAGTACTGGACACGTCAAGGGACATCGAGGCCCTGGCTGACCGTGTTCGAATCTTTCAGGGCAGAGTCCTTGGATTTCTTTACTGGAAAATGAACATGAATTCAATATGTTGACCAAACCACACACTAATAATTCAGTATTATATTTTCTGAGAAAGAGTGATGGGAAAAGAAGATTTAGATTTGGATTTTTTATTCAAGTAAATTCACATACATTGAGTTACATACATAATGTTGGATTTAAAGATAGAGAGAGTACATACAATACCTAAAGCCACTAGTACGCATAGCGTTTCGGGCAAAGTAAAAGGAAGGAAAATGGTGAGAGGGGAAGATAATGTAGGAGAAAAGGGGAGAGTGGGATGGTAGAAGAGAGGGAAGGAGAGAGAGTGGGTGGGGGAGACAGGTAGAGAGGCGGAGAAAATGTGAATAAGGGTGGAGAGATGTGAGAGGGGGGACTGTCGGGGAGAAAGGTGGAAGGAGAAGGGATGAGGAGGAGGGTTCTTAGGGGAAAAAAGGTGGAGAGAGGAGATGTGAAGAAAGGGGGGGGTGATTGGAAAAGAGAAATGAGAGGAGGAGGGGAGAGTGGGGAATAGAGGGAGAGAGATCGGGGCACAGTTGGGTACGTGCCCTAATATGACTATATAGCACTTGGAAGAGGACAGAGTGAAGAAACAGTGCCCAACAATGGGTATGGGGTGCATAATAAACGAACTAAACTAAACAGTGCCCAACCCTGTCAGAAGCGAGGCTGTCGCTCTTACCGACTAGTTTAAGTGTGCCAACTTATTAACAGAAAAATAGTTAATAAAGGCATTCATTTTCCTGATCTGTGGAAAATTTGAGGAAGCTGGAATGCCAGGAAGGCCACGCTGAATAAGGGCGAGCGACGGCGTCCAGAACTTGCCTCCAACCAACCACACAAACTCTTCGTCAGTTAATTAATTAAATGTTTCAGAAGTATATTACCACATTCTCAAGTTCGTTATTACATATAAATAATTGCACTATCTATAATTGCACTGGTGGGCCTCACAGCTGAGTAGATAGCGCATGGGATTCGTAGTCCTAAGGTTCCGGGTCCGATCCCTGGTGGAGGCGGAAACAAATGGGCAGAGTTTTTTTTCACCCTGATGCCCCCTGTTCACCTAGCAGTAAATAGGTACCTGGGAGTTAGACAGCTCCTACGGGCTGCTTGCTGGGGGTGTGTAACAAAATGGAGGCCTGGTCGAGGACCGGGCCTCGGGGACGCTAAGCCCTGAAATCATCTCAAGGTAACCTCAAGATATCTCAAGAGATCTATGGCTCAATTATAAAGTTAATTTAAAAGAGATCTTAATAACTTGTCATTGCATCTGAGTGAGACAACAAGTTATACAATTTTAAGAATATATACTTTGCACCAACGACCCAATGCAAAAGATAAGGTTTAACTCGGCTGGTAATGCAGCAGGCTGTCGTGGTTCCAGGTGCGTAGTCTATTGCAGACTGCAAGCAAGATTTTGGTGGAATATTTATCAAAACGGAGAATCTTCCTGTCCTAGACACTTCGAAATTGAAGACTCCATGTTCAGTGCACAAGACAGTAACAAAATTATCT